CCCTCTCATTCTCCCCTTCTTGTGACTGGATTAGAAGAAAGTGTTTTTGCTTTTCCTCCCTTTAATGTGTAGGATCATTTCTTTTGCCATTCCTCATTTTCTTATGTTTTTTCCTCTCTTCAGTTACTCTGATTAAGAGTTGTTTTAATGAACTCTAAATTGCCCTCTCCCCTCCACCTCCTATTACCTCCTTTCTTTTCCTCTGCTCCTAATCCAGCTTCAGTCTCTGATTTCTATATTCCCATCCCTCTACATGCAGCTTGGCTACTTCCTTCTCCAGTTGCTCTCTACCTGAGCATCACTGGTACAAAACAGAGAGGACTGGAACTTGCCCCCAGTTCCAATGGCTACCAGAAGTAGAGACTGTGCAGAATGACCCAGGTTACCCCAGTACTGAGCATCAATCATGCTGGGGACAGTGTATGTGCAGGATGATCAGCACAAAAGAAGCATGAGTGAATGGACCATGCTCAGCACAGGCAGACTTTAGCTGAAAAAGCTCCAGCACACACTCTAAAATAAACACATGAACCCCAGGCAGACAGCATAGAAACATTTCAGCCTGAATGATTACAGTTTGGCAAAGTTATAATCAACCAAGAACAGGCCTTTATAATGGAAAGTGCTGGACAACATTAATGACAAGTAATATCTAACTTCAGGGTAAACCAGAGCAAAATGTGTTCTGTTAAAACAGTGTACCACTGCTTTTAAGTACACTTTCTGCATTTGCATACGAGAACATGACAGTATTTTTAAACATACGGAGATAGCATGTGGGGCAAAATCAATCAATCAATAAACCTATTGTACCCTTTCTTAATTTCTATTTCCAGCAGAAGTAGGAATGGCCCCCAGCAATCTTATTCTGAGTATAGGAGTATAATTATTCCAATTTGGTGTTTTTCTTTATGGCTGACTAGGCTCTATACCTCCTCCATCCAACCCATGCATATTAAATTCCAACACGATGCCCATACTCTAAAGTTAGACATATACTGATTATACTATATACTGTACCAA